GCGCAATCGATCGCACTCTTGCAAAATATCGTTTGCCTTCAAGGTTTCCGCGCATTTGCGAACTTTAAATCGGAAATTTTTCAGAATATGATAACATAACTTTTCAGCCTTTTCAGTCTTTTCAACCTGATCGTGAAATATACAAAAAATAGGTATATATATTATAATTACATTATTTTATTTCAAATTGCATTTTAAGGTGTCTATATCTATGTAAATTTATTTCTTATTTCAAAATAAGCAAATAAGAAGTTAGGCGAGAATTAAAATACGTATGTTTCAAATGCGCAAAAAGCCTCATCGAGGTTATCAGGAGAATATATTTCGATATCGATCTTACATTTTTACTGACTGCCTCATCATCAATTGGAAATCCGATTGAGTCATACGAGGAAGGAATAGCCCCAAAAATGATAAACATGTCAGTAATATACATCGCAATACGCTTGAGAAAAATCGTATTTGGATTTTTACTTTGATTCATGTACACATTGCAATTTGCCACGAGCTCCCGTATTAAATCGAGAACAGTCCTCGTATCGATATTGTCTGCAATAAATTTCTTTTTAGTGATACGCATCTAGATCTATCAATGATTAGGAAATAATTGAAATTTAAAGACTTACCGCATAATGCTTTATGTATAGATTTGTCTGCAAGATGAAATTTCTTAACGAGTTCTACTTCGGAATTGAACCATTTAGGAAAACTGTTAATAGTAGTATTCGTCTCCAAACTTCTGATCCTACTTTTTACATTTAAAAAGAATTCCTGGAAAAATCAAGTAATTTTATTTTTCAGATATATAATGTTCAAGATTGCAAATGCTCAAGATCATGAATGTTTTTGAATATTATTATTCTTTAATTTATCAATAGTGTCATTAGTCATAACGCAAGATGTAACACGATATTTATCGAATCGCCGCGGCGTATCAGTTCACGTCTTCATATTAACCGTACTGTATCGATCTGCTCTTTGTAATTCGCCGACATGGTCTTTTTGACTATCGATTTTCTAAACGAAGATAATAACTGGCCACCGACACCTTCGTCATTTTATTCCGCGAAGTTTTAAATCTATTTCATATGACTGTCGCTAAGAGCTCGTCACATCTCTGGCGCGTTCTTTGTCGATAGCGATTTCATTTAAGACGCCCGCGTTTTCGATTTCAACCAAATTCAAATTACGTTGTTTCTAAATTACGTTGTTCTTTAATTCCGTTATTATTTTTGGTAGTTTAAATAAAATGTTGTGTTATTTCATTGCTTCGGTGTCAGTGATCTCTCACCCACTTTCCCCCTCCCACTCACACACGCGCGAACATATAAACTCAAAAATATGTACACAATAAAAAGATTTTAAATAT